CAGCATGGGTGAGGCACATGGCTTAAAGGAGGAGACAAGGCTCAAAGCTGGCAGCTGCAAATCCTCCTGAGCATGGTTCAGTGTTGGACGGGCTAAGGACTCCACATATGTTCAATTGGGCTGAATTTTGGATATGTTATACTAGACACCCAATTGAACAACTTCTATGAAGAATGTCTCCTCATCCGAGTTGTAAAGATTGCTGAAATGAGACCTGCAAGGTGACTTACGAAACTGGACTGACAAGGAGTGTGGCCCAACTTTGGTTTTGTCTTTAAGCTCTTGCTCTTATGCCAATCAGCCCTTAACATGCATGGATTGCATCAAATGTGATCTCTTGCTATCTTAACCTACAAAACACACAAACAGAGGTAAGTGACTCAAAATAAATAGAAACTAAGCAAAATCACTAAGTAAAGAAGGCAAGCAAGTGTATGAAATTATGGACTTATCAAAACAGAAAATGGATTAAAAGCACAAGTTTAATTCAATAACATAACCAAATCATAAGCTAGAAGGGTACAAAATGATATACAATTATGAACCGATCAATGGGACCGATTGATGAAACATAAAACCACCCAACCCTAAACTAGTAATAATGGATTCAAATTTTTGGGTGTCAAGACAAAATTGTTGGGTCCCAATAAAATTTCTCATTATTTATTCGCATAATTTTTCTTCTTCTGAATAATGTGTATGTAACACAATTACAAAGTTCCTATAAACACACATGTGACTATCAATTGACATTATTTTTACCACAAATTCTAATTAGTCTTTTACAGAAAAATGGTTCACCACCGTTGTCAATTTTCATTGTTTTTCACAACATCCAACATCTTCTTCAATAGCTTCAGATTTCTAATATTTTAGTGCTTGTTTCGTAAACGAAACATGGTTGTTGATGTTTTTGCTAATATGGGTCAACATAAACAGAATTTTTGTATTTCATTTTCTAATTTCCCAATTAAGGTGACTATGAGATTATTGTTTGATCATAGAAATATTGGAATCCCTCGCAATTTTCCTTGTAATTTTTCTTTCGTTCTTCAAAAAAAAAAATTCTACCTACAAACAATCCTTCATATTATTCACAGTGCCATATATATTTATGTACATTTCCCCCCTCTCCCAAAAAAAGAAATTTCCATGGCGCGTGTGTATCGTCCACTTTAAAAGTGCGTGGGGTGGACCACCGGAGTCGCATCCCAATTTGAAACAGAGCCAGAGAGAGAAAGTGGGAAGTAAAATCAAGGGTTTTTAGTCGAAGTCGTTGCCAAACTCAGAGAAGCAGAGCAAATCAGAGTAGCCATGGACGCTCAGTCGCAGCAGCAACAAGTCGGAGTTGTGAAGAAGAAGGAGACTCGGGGCCGAAAGCCCAAGCCCAAGGAAGAAAAGAAGGACGACCAGCAACAGCAGGCCAAGATGAAGAAGGCCCACCAACAAGCCACCGTCGACGACAAGTACACTCAGTGGAAGTCACTCGTCCCTGTCCTCTACGACTGGCTCGCTAACCACAACCTCGTCTGGCCCTCCCTCTCTTGCCGGTACTCTCTCGCTCTCTCTCTCTCTCTCTCTCTCTCTCTCTCTCTCTCTCTAACTTTTTCTAACCCTATTTTTGGGGTTTTGGGGTTTTGGGGTTTTTATGAGACCTCATTGTCAGTTGTGCAGTTCGTTTTTGCTCAAAATTTAGGTTTTTTGTTTCCGTGTATCTGATTTTTCTGGTTTTTAGGGTTTGTGAGGCAAATGGATAGTGAAAAATCTGCTGCATCTTTTTTTTTAATAAGCATTGTATATCTGCTCCTGTTTTGGCCAGGTGGGGTCCTCAGCTCGAGCAAGCTACATACAAGAATCGCCAGCGTCTCTACCTTTCTGAGCAGGTAAGCTTGCTCATCTCAATTTTGATTACCACAGTTAATTTTGAATATCCTCCCACGAAGTGTTGCAACACATGAACTTCACTTGAATTTTATATAATTGAAAGCACAAATTCTGTGTTTGGATTTGAAACTCATAAATCATACTTGAAATGGTTAAAGTTACTATATTGCGCTAAAGCACAAATTTTTTGTGATGTTGATCCTGGAGATATATACTAAATTTTACTAAGGTTATATTCTCTTTAAAAGAATATCCTTTTTTCTGTTTCGTTGTCAGACTGATGGAAGTGTTCCAAATACGCTGGTTATTGCAAACTGCGAGGTTGTCAAACCTAGAGTTGCCGCTGCAGAGCATATATCTCAGGTATTTGTGATTGGTTTGATTTTTTGCTTGTAGCTTAACTCTTCTATGAATATCATTATTAATTACTTCATTTTTCAGTTCAATGAAGAAGCCCGCTCACCATTTGTTAAGAAGTACAAGACCATCATACATCCTGGAGAGGTATGAATGATGCACGTGTTAAGTCATTGATTCTTTCTTCTCTCATTTTGGGTATAAGTTGGTGATCTTGGAAGCTTGCAATTACTTCCTCTTTAGTAATCTTTTCATATATTTTGACAGATAAACAGAATCAGAGAACTTCCACAGAACACTAAGATAGTGGCCACACATACAGATAGCCCTGATGTAAGTGTTTTTTATTTATTAATTTGGATGATAGTGTTATGTTCTTTGTTTTATATGTTTTGGTTCATTTTTGAAGTTATAATCACTTCTAAATTTTGCCAAAATTTAGGTTCTTATTTGGGATGTGGAAGCTCAACCAAACCGTCATGCTGTCCTTGGAGCCACAAGTTCACGCCCGGATTTGGTAAGCTTTTTTTTGCCACGTATCTCTTTACCTAAATTTTTCATTTTTCACTTTTCATTTTTTTTTGAGAGCCACAAGTTTTAAATGTTGGACCCTTTCAAGACTTGTGTGATTTACTGCTAACTATGTTTGTTCAATTGAAAGATATAGAACCTGTTTGACTATTTTCTCCTTTCAGATTTTGACTGGACATCAAGATAATGCAGAATTTGCCCTTGCAATGTGTCCAACTGAACCATATGTGCTGTCTGGAGGTAGGGAAATTTTTTCTTTTGTTTTTTGAATCTTAATGATGCTGTTAAATGATTTAACTATGCCTAATGTATGTAGGTTTTTGTTTATATAATTTGCTCTTTTTACTATGAAATTTGATGACTGGATGCTGTATGTTTTAGTTTGCGATTGATTTCAAGAACTCATCTCACTATTGTTATTCTCATTGTTATTGGGCTTATGAGAAATTAGATTATGTATTCTATGAAGGCTCTTTCTTTTTCACTGAAAAAATGTTTTATTGCAGGGAAGGACAAAACAGTGGTTTTGTGGAGTATTCAGGACCATATATCAGGAGCTACCACAGATCCAGCAGCAACCAAGTCTCCAGGATCTGGTGGGTCAATTATTAAACAAAACTCAAAGCCTGGGGATGGTAATGATAAAGCTGCTGATGGCCCTTCTGTTGCACCACGAGGAATCTACTATGGGCATGAGGATACAGTTGAAGATGTGGCATTTTGCCCATCTAGGTAAATTACATCTTCTCATTTACCAAGCCTTTATAAATTCTTTTATGCTGACCAAGATTCAATCAAACTACTAAAGACATGGAAACTCTATTCAATTTAAACCATAGTAGTTGCAATTTATCTTCTAAGGATGTGGCCTTTTATTTCTTATGATTTTACATCTCTACTGAAGTTCACAGGAGTTCTGTAGTGTTGGTGACGATTCCTGCCTCATATTATGGGATGCACGTGTGGGCTCTAGCCCTGCCACAAAGGTTATGCATCTCATCCTTTTTTTTGGCTCTCCTTTAATTTTTCATATGCCTTTGGAATGGATTTTCAGTCCCTCTGCACATGCTAAAAGGCTTCATACTTCGGAGTTGGGTGAATAAACTGGTATACATGTAGAATTTGGCTGAGTAGTGTCAGTTTGCAGCATATATCTTTGATGTAACTATTTTTCTGTTTGAAGATTACTGCTTAATCATCAATACTAACATGCCTATAGGAGTACGTTTTTTGGGTGTTAGATCTTCCTAAATATCTCTTATCATTAATCTTGGCAGATGTCTTTTTCTTTAAGCGTAATTTTGCCTTCTACTTATTGTACATTTCGGCTGTTCTTGTTTCTGATTATCAGGTTGAAAAAGCACATAATGCTGATCTTCACTGTGTTGATTGGAATCCCCATGATGATAACCTTATTCTAACAGGGTACATGCTAATGGCATATTTCTCTCAGTTTTGCTGCTTTTCTAATCCTTTTTTTTTATTTTTTTTTGTTGTGCTTTAAGGCTTGAACTGTGAGAAGATATGACACTTGTTAATACATCTATGCTGGTATGATTTCTTAACAGGTCAGCAGATAATTCAGTTCGCTTGTTTGATCGCCGAAATCTCACTTCTGGTGGAGTTGGGGCACCTATTTATAAATTTGAGGGTCACAAAGCAGCTGTTCTTTGTGTCCAGGTAATAATTATACTGCATGGCTTGCTATTTTCTATTTCTTAAAAAATTATGCTCTATGGGAAGTACATCTTTTGCAAGAACTGCAGGTCTGTATCTGTTGTTTTTACCAAATTACATTTATATTTCAGTGGTGTCCAGACAAATCGTCTGTCTTTGGAAGCTCTGCAGAAGATGGTCTTTTAAACATTTGGGATTATGAGAAGGTATGGTGGCCTTCAGAATGTACAGTGGTTTGATTTATATGTTAATCTTGTAAGTTTAAATTCGATCAACTTTTTGACATGATGAAAAAAGTGTTTCTAAATAATTTTTTTGTTGTGTTCTTATGAGAGTGGATTGCCGCTTCTTTGAGTTTCACCTTCTCTATTTCTCTGCCCATTACTTCAATTAGTCAGAAGTTGTGATAACTTTTTGCAAACACAATAACTTGCAGGTAAGTAAGGAGCGAACTACCAAAGGCCCGAGTTCTCCACCTGGTCTGTTTTTCCAGCATGCTGGGCACAGGTTCGAGACTATCTCTTTACTTAGCTTTTGATGTGTCTGGTACAGGATTCTTTCTTTTGCATCTCACTTGACTTTCTATCTTTCTTGGTTTCGGTTAGTTGGGAATCATACCAGAGTTTATATGTTTCCATGCCACCTATATGTCTTTAGGTTCATATGGTCAGTAAACAGTATGTGATGAAAACATGATCTTGTAATTATCTCATTTTCTCTGAAATTTTGAGTTTGACCTTTGCATCAAATGTTTGTTGGAAATTTTACTCTGCTAACATGATTTGCCAAACTGGGGAAATGTTCTGTTTGTCTTCCTTGGCTTTTTCTCGAGAGAGGTGGACATGATAGTGGTCTAAAACCTTTTATCTATCTCGTACCTTATTGCTTAGTCTTCTAGGTTTGTTAAAATTGTTTGGCTCTGAATGATTTTTTAATGGTTATATCTAGAGCATGTTTGGTATTGCCTGGTAAATAGTACTGAAGTTTTCTCAAGTGAAATTTTATAATTTGAATAGTCTAGCGTTATTTTTTCCTTTTAGTTTCTCATAGTTCTCTCTCATGGTTTTCTTTACTTCATCAGGGACAAAGTTGTTGATTTCCATTGGAATGCATCCGATCCATGGACCATCGTTAGTGTGTCTGATGACTGTGATACTACTGGTGGAGGGGGGACATTGCAGGTATCAGAATGTTCTTCTTTACCTCATTGGAAGGGTTTCATTTTACCCGTAATAAATTATTTCTTATAAAACAAATTGAAAGAAATATATTTTGAAAGCTGAGGGAGCAATAATGAGAAACCATATGAGATGAATATGAAGCGTTAAACATGATAAGAAAAAGAATGTTGCTTGAACCTAGTTTTTTCTGGTGTACGCATGATGTGTTTTACCCTTATGCCCTCCCTCCTTCCTCCCATATATTACCCTTTCCTTTGAAACCTTTCTCTAGTTAAAAAAGAAATTACCCTTTGATTTGACAATGGAAACTGATTTCTGAAGCTGACAATTAATTTCAGATATGGCGAATGAGTGACCTGATCTACAGACCTGAAGAGGAGGTTCTGGCAGAGCTTGAGAAGTTCAAGTCCCATGTTGTTTCCTGTGCTTCAAAGCCTTGAGAGTTGAGTGTCAAGTGCACTTTTAGATTCGTGGGAAAAAATTTCAGTAGCAAGCTTATTGAATGAATCTAAGCTCTTTTATGTTAGAGAGGTAGGATGGTTTTCTAGGTCTGCTGTGATTGTAATATTTGCTTATTGGATATGGTGGTTTATGATGAGAGGAGAAAATTCATGTTTAGGATTAGGGACCGTGTTTGACCCGTGCTTGGGATTAGGGATCTTTAAACTAGAAGCATGGCTCACTCTTTTCGGCCATGTTCATCAGAGATTTTAATTTTTATTGGATTGGACGTGATTATTCACAAGCCTTAAGAGGGGCAAATATCTCGTTGTGGTAGATGTCTTTATTTATTTATTTTGATTAAGATTTTAATAATGGAAATGTCGGTTGGTGGATTTGCAGCAGATTTCGTACTGACATTTCTGTTTGTGATTAAAAACTATTTCACACATAAAGTGAGTCCATTTCTTTATCCATCAAGACAAGTGAAATGATGTGACAAGCAGTTAAAGGGTACAATATTTTGTTAAGCCCAATTATCTTAGAATAATAATAATAATAATAATCGAGCTGGACCAAATTATCTCAACTAAATTAGACCAATTATGAGTCTAGTAATCGCGATGGAAGAAACATCTAACCTCATATAACATGTTTGGATCATTTTGTCAGAAATGGGATGTTCCAATTTCTTAGGCTAGAATTATGAGAACGCCAAATTTTCGACTATTGTGTCTATTGGTGAGAGAGATAAGCAAGGCATAATGGTTTTGTATGCCTAGTGACGAACATGAGCTACACTTCAAACTTTAGATTTTTAAAACCAAACTCATCTATTATATCCTAGGTACCATTGTATACTAGTGTTATAACCCTAAATAAAGTCCAAATCCCTTTCCCCAACTTGAATCCTATTTTTCCCTTTTCTTATATAAAGAATTAATGAGATTTTATATATATATATATTATACAAGCAGTAGTCTAAACTATAAGGGAGAGGAGAGTTTCTAACACACACTACCAGAAGGGCCATGAGATTTCAAACCTAAGACCTATGGTTTGCAAGTCATCACCCTTTTTCAGTGGGTTAGATCTCGTTGGCAACGAGATTGTATGGACCCTTAGTGGAGTAACGGTTTTTTATTTATTTGGCACGTGACGTAACCTAATTGGTAATTAGGACCACATTTGGATAAGATTGAACATGGTGAATGATTTGACTTGTTCATTTGATATTGATATATCACAATTATCTGGTATGTTACGTTGCACGGCTTAATTCTTACCAAATTTAACCAAGATGATTCCTTATTAGGGACTTTTTAAATGGAAAGTTTAATAGCATGAAAAACCACAATTATCTAGCATATTGCGTTGTGTTGCCAGACAAATCCATAAAATTTCTAAACAAGACTATACCGAAATGACTCAAATTCATAGTATGACAACTTAACTTTGGAATTACCTGGACAACTTCCTTATCTAAATGATTAGATGACGAAAAACCATGATACTTGCACCTTTAATTTTTTGTTTACGAACTTTCTTACTCAAATGTTCACATGACAAGCTTAAGCACCAATTGCTAATCCATAAACTAAAACCCCTTTAGACTCATGCTTATTACAACAAAAACGTCCACTTTTTTTTTTGGGTGCTTTTTTTTGGTCATAAGAGTAAAATGAATTCGATGTCCAAAAGAGCCATCTTTCCAAGACATTCTTTTTGGCACATCAAAACGGAGGGGTACAAAAAATTTCTCTTTTCTCGCGAAGGCTCCTACTAACACACACCGTTTCCAGTTATTTACTACACAACATTAAAAACGCGCTTTTTACCTTTCCTTCCCATCCTTTCCCTCCACTGCACGCCACGTCACCAAGCCTCCCTACCCAGCACCAAATCTTTAACGGAACCCGCCCCGTCGGATCGTCCAGGTGCGTATGCTTCAACGGTTTAGATTATCGCAAAGTCGTCGACAGCTGGACCCACCAAATATGGGGCCCACGATCCCTCTTTTTGGTAATTCTTCACCACTTTCGATGTAGGGGGGACGAAATTGGGAATTTTGGCTGCACAGCCTCACCGAACTGTACGTAAAACGTCAAGTCCCACTCAAATATATATACGGCACACCCCACACTCTCCTCCACACTCTGCCTCTCTCCGTACACTCACACTCTCTCTCTACCTCTCTCTCTCTCTCATGGAGGACACAGACAGGGGAACGCTTAAGAGGCCTGGAGGAGACGAAGCGTTGGAGGAGAAGGCGGTGAAGAGGCAGCGAGATCTGGAGATGGAAGGAGATCAAAACGACGACATTTTGACTCTGCTGTTCAACGAACCCGACGAGACGCTCAACGAGGTGATGAAGCTTCTGGACGCGGCGGACAACGGTGTTAGTTGTACTACTGGGGCGAAGGTGAGGTTCATCAACGACCCGTACTCGCCGTCGTCGTACTTCACCGTCAACGTCAACGTCAACGAGGAGAGCTGCGGGTCGTCGTTCTCGGAGCTGGAGTCGACGTGCATGGCGGGAGTCGACATATGCGGTGGCGGGCTAGGCATTGGAGCGGAGGTTATGGGTTTGGAGTTTGATAGGTGGTTGATGGAGGAGGCGAATGAGGAGAAGGGCGGCGCGTGTGGTGTAATCGAGGAGGCGGCGCGTGGTGGCGGGTTGGACATGGAGGCAGAGTGGGATGATGCTGCGCTGGCGAGGTTCATAGGGGAAGACCTATTTTGACCTCTCTCTCTCTCTCTGTGTCTCTCTCTCTCTCTCTCTCGCAGTGGCAGAGTGTGTGTGTTGTTTGTTGTCTCTCAAACTGAACAACATGGGACGGGGGGGTATGGAAATGAATTTTGGAGGGTTTAGGAAGAAATGGGTTTTTATGAAAGGCGGCATGGCCAGAGGGGTAGGTGCGTTTTATTTTCTACACAGACTCAGAGTAGTCTTCTGCAGGAAGCTAGCTACAGATGATAAAAGAGAAGAGAATAGGATATTATTAGGATTGTCAATTAGCAATTTAGGGGGTACACAGAGAAAAAAGAAAAAGAAAAGGTGAAATGTTCATTTTGGGTATGGCGTGTGCATGTGGCCGTCTGGTAGTAGTAGTACGTACAGTGCTGAGCTGACTGCAAAAAGAACAAATACAGAGTTTTATTGAAAATATATTTGCCTTTAAATTTCTTTGCAATTATTTTATGATTTTATTGTTTTGGTTTTGGTTTTGGAGCATTATTATCTTATCGGTTTCATTTTTGTTATTTAATTTGATTTCCTTAACGAAGAACCAAGAAAATGGATATATAATGAGGTAATTATGGACTTGTGGAATGGGCTCCGATCTTATGTTGAAGTGCGTGGGTCCAAATGAGTTAATTCTTGGGCCGAAATGAACATCGGCCCAGTGGCAATTTTGGAAATGCTATGGGTCTGCTTTGTTGCCCACACTGTCATTATCATTAGGATTTGGGACAAAACCCAACACGAATTTGGGCCCATTAATTGGGCCTCATCTGGTCTCATTGGCCCATTAATTTCCTTTAAGACTTGACAGAAAATATGATAATGGAGGATGCGATCACCACCAACACTGCCAAATATTATCATAAGGAAGGAATTATGTTGCCAGTGTGGTATAGCTCAGTTGGTTGAGCTCTTGGAAACCTCTAAACATCCAATGAATATTTGTGTAAACCCCCATCCCCAATCGCTTGTACTCGAAAGAAAGTAACTCTATTCTATTCCATTCATTTTAAAACAAGCTTTGTTTGGACTACTTTTCCTCTCTCCTCCGCTGCTCCGCATCATTTGATGACCAAATTATTCCCTAACCAACCATCGTCACTTTAACATCTTCGAAAGCTAAAGTTGATTAAGAGAGTGAATCTATTGTCTATAAATATGAGTGGTTGGGTCTCTTAGTCTCTAGCTAGCTAGGCATCACTAGGAAGCTAGCCACTTCGAGCTCTATGAGCATCAAACAAACAAATTTCCCTATTTTTATAAAAGAAAAAAACGTAGGGGGTACCTAACAACTAAACAAGGGGACAATTTGCGGCTCAAGAACCCTAGCCCTAATCTCTTGGGGATTAGCCCTTTAACAAATAGGTTGTTCGAAATATTATCATTTCATGCAAAGGGTTTTACGTTTTATACGTATAAATTGTTTTTAAAATACACAATCATCATAATACATGAAATTTTTTTTCAATGAAATAGTAATGTTCAAAAGTGGCGAGAAAAACTCTTGTTAAAAAAAGTGAAACCCAACAAACAATTTTAGGCAATCATATCAATGGATGGCCACCCCATCCCAATCCCATCATTCTCCTATCAATTCCTCATATCAAAAAAAGTGAACTGCTGGGTCTCAATCATCCATGTCATTCTCTGTAAAAGCAAACTATCAATAATGAATTACTTTTTCTTCCTCAAAACGCCCTATTCAAATGTTTTTTTTTCTTGTTTTAGTTACATTTAACAAGCATATATTTTTCTCTCAGTCACGTGTTAAAGTTCTATTAACATGATAAGATAGATGACGTATACACCCGTTATGTGTAAATTTTTTTAGTCTAAAGCAGGTAACCTATAAAATAACTAGAACCCCATCTTATAAGAAGTTGTCATCAATGTGGTGCTATAAGCTTTGACTGACTGAACAAGATGATTAACTTCGTTCCAATTTTTAATCGAAGGGAATAAAATTTTGAACTGTAAGAAATCAGCACAAAATCCTGTCATTCCAATGCGTTTGTTAATGTATATATATTGTCAAATCTGCACTACCTTTGATGAAGATATAGAAGAAAGTTTGGATATGGTAAACAATTGAAAGTATTGAACCATGAACATTTTAGTTGTGAAAGCAACTGATAAACCTATATGTATGCCTGTGGCATAGAGTTTAAAATAATAATAACGTTGGGTCATAGTAATAAATGTCATCATGGTGCTGATGGCCACCAAGATTCGTTCCGTTGTCACCTTTACCCATTCATTTTCAAAGTATACGTTGACCACAACAGGCTATTGTTTAGGGTTTATAGACTTGAATAGATCTTGTACGAAATGTAGACAAATCCCAACAGAGAATAGTGAACTCGGTGATGGAGTTATTTGAAACACAGCACAAGTCAATGAACAGAGAACAGTGAACTCGCCAATCTAACAGTTGAATACGAACATGCATGGTAGAAAAATCTGCCGAGTCATGAGTCATGAACCACAGAGAACAGGTCAATCTGAAAGTTAAATACGAACATGCATGGTAGAAAAATCTGCCGAGTCATGAACCATAGAGAACAGGTCAATCTGAAAGTTAAATACGAACATTCATGATAAAAAAACCCAAGTCATGAGTCGTGAACCACCGAATGACGGTTCATCAACCGATCAGGACCGTTGAATTGCTGAGTTGGTGGGGTGTCCCTCGCTCAATGTTCATGTGAAGGTTGGTGAAAGGCCCTGTCAACCTTTTGAAGTTTCAGATGTTCCTGGGCATCATCACATATGATGACATTTATTTTGCCCTTGCCTTCGGTAACTATGCCTGCTGAGATCTTTATGGCTAATCAGAATTCAAATGAGTGCAGAAGAATAATGATATTTTGGACATAAATGGAAGTGGCAATGAGAGATACTAGGACAAGATTTCATAGAGAGACTGGTGTTTTGGGTATGAGCCATACTAGTTGAGTTGTAGAGAGAGCTCAAAAAAAGTAGAGCCCTGTCTTTATTAGAAAAATAATAATAATAATAAAAAGAAACAAAGGGAAAAAGAAAAATGCAGTAATATGTAAAAGAAACAAAGAGTGGGCATGGGAGATCCTTATAAAATCCTCATCAGTAACTCAATATCACCTCACCTCACAGTTCTTCTTTTTCTCTCTCTTCTCACTCTTCTTTTGTCTAAAAATTCTAAATACCCTTTTGTCATTTTTGTGTGTTGTTGAAAGCAGCAGAGGTTAGGAACAAAAATGGTGGCCAAGAAATCAAGGATTGTGATAATAGGAGCAGGAATGGCTGGTGTGACAGCAGCTAACAAGCTCTTCACTGCTACTGGGTCCAAGGACTTGTTTGAGCTCTGTGTTGTGGAAGGTGGGTCAAGAATTGGTGGCAGAATCAACACATCAGAGTTTGGTGGTGACCGGATTGAGATGGGCGCCACTTGGATCCATGGCATTGGAGGCAGCCCAGTTCACAAAATTGCTCAAGAAATCCATGCACTTGAGTCTGAGCAGCCATGGGAGTGCATGGATGGGTCCTCTGATGAGCCCAAGACCATTGCTGAATGTGGGTTTGAGCTAAACCCCACTCTGGTAGACCCCATTTCATCTCTGTTCAAGAACTTGATGGATTATGCTCAGGGGAAGAAGGTGTTTGATGAAAGTACTGAAACAGAGAGCAATGGTGATGTTGAATATGGTAAGCTTGGAGATAAAGCTTCCGAGGTTTGCACAAGCAATGGCGGTCTTGGGAAGCTCAGTGTTGGTTCTTTCCTAAGGCAGGGCCTTGAGGCTTATTGGGTTTCAAAGAAAAACCAAGATGAGGAGCTGAAGCTCAATGGTTATGGAAATTGGAGCAGAAGGTTGCTGGAAGAAGCCATCTTTGCAATGCATGAGAGCACCCAAAGGACTTATACATCAGCTGGTGACTTGTTAACTCTGGATTATAGTGCAGAAAGCGAGTACCGTATGTTCCCAGGCGAAGAAATCACCATTGCTAAAGGCTACTTGAGCATAGTTCAATCACTTGCCTCTGTTCTGCCACCTGGGTTGATCCAGTTAGGCAGAAAGGTCACAAAAATTGAATGGCAGCAGCCAGAGACTCATATCAACAATGGTTATGATGACACAAGGCCTGTGAAGCTACACTTTTCTGATGGGTCAGTTATGTTGGCTGATCATGTTATTGTTACAGTTTCTTTGGGGGTCCTTAAAGCTTCAATTCAACAAGATTCAGGTATGTTCAATCCTCCCTTGCCTTCTTTCAAGACTGAGGCAATATCAAGGCTTGGTTTTGGTGTTGTTAACAAGCTGTTTCTGCAACTGAGCTCTACCCATGCTACAAAAGGCCAAGACTTCAGTAAGTTTCCATTTTTACAAATGGTTTTTCATAGAGCAGACTCAGAATTCAGGCATAAAAAGATCCCATGGTGGATGAGGAAGACAGCTTCTCTTTGTCCACTCTATCACAATTCCAGCGTTCTGCTATCTTGGTTTGCAGGGAAAGAAGCACTTGAGCTTGAATCACTCAAAGATGAAGAGATCATTAATGGGGTTTCAGCAACAGTCTCTAGCTTTCTGTCAAAACCCCAAAAGAAAGAGAAAGAAAATTGTCATTCCCATGAACTATGCAATGGGAATGTGAATTCACAAGAGAACTCTGAAGTAAAAATTGCAAAGGTTTTGAAGAGTCAATGGGGTAATGATCCTCTGTTTCTAGGATCCTACTCTTATGTTGCTGTTGGATCAAGTGGTGAGGATTTGGACACCATGGCAGAGCCATTGCCAAAGTTGAACAGTTGTGGTGATGAGCCTGCTACTTCCCCTCCACTTCAAATTCTGTTTGCAGGGGAAGCTACACACAGAACCCACTATTCTACCACCCATGGAGCTTACTTTAGTGGTCTTAGAGAAGCCAATAGGCTTCTCCAACATTATCACCATCTTGGGGTTTAGAGGACTTAGTAGGACTTTTATTTATTTTTGCACATTTATTGCTATGATATTAATTATTTTCATTTTCATGTAGAACATCTTTGTTTCTCTTTCTTTAGGAGAGATCAGAGAGAGAGAAGTGAGAGAGAGAGAGAGAGAGAGAGAGATGGGGACAAGTTGCTAGATGTACTGCATGGATTAAAGAAGTTACTTTGATTTTCCATTGCTTTCTCTCTGATTGTGTGTGAGATGCAGTTTTTCTTCTTTGTTTTCATTTGTGCTTCTCTTCGTCAAGGCAAAACCACATGTGCCTCTCAATCTCATGAGATAGTATTATATGATATTGAGAAGTACAAAAACAAGAAAGCTTTGGATGCCACCTCTCTTCCCTACCAAGTGTCTATTTTGGAATGCTCAATGGACAGGATCCGATAAACCCGCTCTTTCCAGCTGCATTTCTTTTCATCCGTTCCTTTCCTGCACTGACACGTTGTTTCACAGCCAATGACGTTGTGTTC